TACTCCGATTTGGACGGCATGCCATTAAAATTTCAAAAATTTCATTAGGATTGATTAAAAATAGCAACGACACTTACATTACATAAGACTTTAAGACACTTTTTCGCCTTATATCCAACGTAAGCAATCGGGAGAGATAAGTGGAGTCTGTCTAGAAATATGTTACATCATTTTAGTTCATCCAGTAGCCGATGTCGGGCGGTGTTGTGCAAAATAGAGTGTGGTGTTGCTGGGTATGTTTCTAATATTTACAGCTTTTATTCATACGGCTGTTGTGCATTTATTATTGCTTTCAGCTATTTGTCATGTATGTATTATACACAGCTATTCATTGAAATGTGAAGGTTATTTTTTTTTCGTATAGTTCTTTTGAATTGTATCGCGTTTAATGGGGTTTGTGCATTGCGCATTGTTTTTGATTTGTATGTATGCGCTCGTCCTCGCACTTTTGTTCACAGTTTTATTACGTTCAATTTTAATATTTAAGATACATTTTTATTAACTGTAACATATTTAACCTGTTATTCATATGTAAAAATATTTACTCTGATTTAAACAAATAAGTTTGCAGGCCAGAAAGCATGTATGCAAGTATATAAGAATGACATACACAAATAAAACATGAATCAAATGCATTTTTGTAAATGAATAACACAAATATATGCACAGCTAACTAGAAATAGGAGACATTTTAGCTTGTTTTACACAGAGATTTACACAAACAAAACTGCATTAGATGTTGGACAGTGGGAAAATTGTGATTTTGACAAAATAAGGGGGAAACGTGTTATTTCAGCAGGGTGAATTAGTGGGAGAGATATTTAATTGATTATTTAATGTAACATGCAAAATGTGGCCTAATTTTTCCTCACATATCACAAGTATTTCTGTAATCATGGGCATCAGTGCATTTATTTAAACAAGTCTTAATACTGCACTACTAAATAATGTATTATGCACAGTAGGGTTGTAACAATATACCGGTATGACGGTTTACCACGATTTGAACGTGCACGATTATCATACCATGAACAATTGCATATCAACGGTTTTAACCCTTAAAGACAGAGACAGCCGCCCGCGGCTAAAAATAAGTATTGCTCTTAAATGTTTAATAACTTTTGATCCGCTGATCCGATTCATACAATTCAAAGATTGGCATAAAGAAGAGAATCTCAGCTTTCCAGTGCTGTATCACATAACATTCGCGGACTTCAGAGGCTCCGGAATCAGTGCGGTTACGTCATCAAAATTTGACAACGCTGATTTGACAAAGAAACGCTCGTCACTGTGTCTCCGGACAAACCAGACATGATACATTGATGCACTGTCCCTCTTCCATGCCCAGATTGGTTCAAACTCGCTATATCACAACCAATAAGCATAGGTTTCGCTTTTGTTTGTGGACCAAACAATGAGCTTTTTGAACAACACGGAATGAGAGATAGGCATACATTTTATGCGCGGCTAAATAAAACGCAAAAAAAAAGTTTTGCATGAAACAATTCTCATACTAAGTACTTTTACATGCACAGCAGCACAGAAACATGACAAAACAGTGACACAGCAAAGACGAACTGCTGCTCTTGCTGTTTTCAAAAGACGCAAATGAAGGTGCAGCTGTTTGTCTGCATTGCAGACAACCATATCCAAATCCATATCCACAGACAACCATATCCATGCTGGCACATAAAACCTAAGGATGTTCCATATTGAATCTAGTTTCGTTATGTAACTATTTATAGTATAGTAAATATTTATATCTATTTTTTTACTGAGGATTTGCACCATGTTTATTTGGATTTTATTTGGACTTTGACACATTATTTATTATTTTCATTGTAAGTGGTGTTGTTTATAGTAACTGAAAATATATTATTTGGAAAAAGTCAAATTTGCTTCACTGTTCTATTATTTTGTAACATTTGTAACATACCGTATACCGCGAAACCGTCAAACCGTGGTATTGTTTTAGACGATTATCATACCGTAAAAAATTCAGACCGTTACAACCCTAATGCACAGCAGAACATACCTTTACTTTGAGCTTGCTTCTCTTCTTTGTTTTTCTTTTCTTTCTTTTCGGCTCTGGAAAGACGCTGTTTGGAACCCATTTCATTTTAAATTAAAATTTGATTAAGATCGATTAAAAATAGCAAAAACACTTGTGACGTTACATTACTTAAGACTTTAACACACTTTTTCGGCTTTATATCCAACGTGAGCAATTTGGAGAGATTTGTGGAAGCTGTGTACATGGGCGATGTTAGCGTGTGGTGCTGCTGGGTATGTTTCTAATATTTACAGCTTTTATTCATACTGTTGTTGTGCATTTATTATCGCTTTCAGTTATTTGTCGTATGAATTATAAAGAGATATTATTTTAATGACATTTGGAGGTTATTTTTTTACCGGCGTTGTGAATTGAATGGGGTTTGTGCATCGCGTATTGTTTATGATTTGTATGTACGCGCTTGTTCTCGCACTTATGTTCACATTAAATATACAAGAGCAGCGTTCATGAGGCCCTCCAAGAAATGCGAGGCCCTAGGTGACCGCCTATATTGCCAGTTGGACGGGCCAGAACTGCACATGGCACTAGAGTAATGCGGTAAAAATTATTTATCAACATTATATTTAACATGAAGCTGAAATCATCACTGCTGAGGAAAACAAACAAACATTAATGTTAACTAGAAAGGAAGTGTTATGCAGGGAATTCTGGGAAAGTCCACTTACGGTTATTCATTTTAAATTAAGGAAACTTTCCTTTAACCAGGTTATGCATTTTTACTGTATATATTTTTAAATCTACTGCTAATTACGGCAGTGTTATACAGTCTACAGAAAGATTGAAAGTAAAATATGATGCTGTGCCAATGTTGCATCACACAAGTGAGTTCCTTTTTTTTTACGTGTTTGTGTTGCTTTGTCTGTTATTACAGATCAAGTGTTTATATGCATTTAAATCTAAATCCAAATCTCCTAATCTTAAATCTCAGCAGTATCCATCAGTGAAGGATGGTTGCTGTCAAACATACATGCAGAAGTTTACATGAGTGGCACACAGCTGTCCTGTTGAACTTTGAAAGCTAGTCTTAGAAGTAAAGCCTTATAGTGTTTAAATATGCAAACTCTTACGCCAGTGGGTGTTTATGTCTGAGTCTACAATACGCCACACATATTCAAATAGGTTATTCAGAAGAGAGTAGTCAAAACAGGACGAAGAACCCCTGTCAATTCTATTCTCTAAGTTCATGACTCCTTTAAAACACACTCGCACATAAATGAAACCCCAGATGTGTGGAGCCGCATCATGAATGTAATTGTGCATGTTTGGTCTTGAATTGTGACCTGTTTATTGGTTTGGTTTGTGCTGTGCACGAGCAGTTGGTACAGATTCTGCATGATTGTGAAACTGACACAAATTTAGCAGTAACAGTGTGTCAGCATAGCAGTGCAGAGCATGCACATGCAAACTACACATGCCAAGTTCATTCAACTCAGTTTGAGTTCAGTGGAAGTTATTTTATCATTCATTCATTCATTCATATGTTCATTCGTTCGTCCATTGCTCCATTCATAATTAGTCCGTTCATTTATTAGTCCATCATCTCTCCATTTATTTGTCCATCTCTTTATTTATTCATTCATTAGTCCATCTCTCTATTTATTAATTTATTCGTCCATCTCTCCATTCATTTGTCCATCTATCCATTCTTTTATTCATTCATTCATTAGTCCATCTCTCCATTCATCAATCCATCCATCTCATTATTCATCCATCCATTCATCCATCTCTCTATTCATCTTTTCATTTACTCATTTGTCCACCTCTTTACATTCATTCATTCATTCATTCATACATTTGTTCATTCATTCGTCCATTGCTCCATTCATAATTAGTCCGTTCATTTATTAGTCCATCATCTCTCCATTTATTTGTTCATCTCTTTATTCATTCATTCATTAGTCCATTTCTCCATTTGTTAATTTATTCGTCCATCTCTCCATTCATTTGTCCATCTATCCATTCTTTTATTAATTCATTCATTAGTCCATCTCTCCATTCATCAATCCATCCATCTCATTATTCATCCATCCACTCATCCATCTCTCTATTCATCTTTTCATTTACTCATTTGTCCACCTCTTTACATTTATTCATTCATTCATTCATCTCTATTCATTTCATTCATTAATTTGTCCATCTCTCCATTCAGTCATTCACTCATCTCCCTATTTAGTCATTCAATCGTTCATCTCTCTATTCATCTTTTCTATTATTCATTTGTCCACCTTTACATTTTTTCATTCATTTTTCATTCTCTATTCATTCATTCCTTCATTCAATTATTCATCCATCCATCTCTCTATTCATTAATGTGTCCATCTCTTTTAAATTTTTTTCATTGATTCATTCATCACACTATTCATTAGTTTATCCACCCATCTCTCTACTCATTTCATTCATCCATCCATATCTATGGATTTGTTTATTCAGTCATTTGTCCACCTCTATTCCTTTGTTGTCTATTGTTGTTTTAATTTTAGACTTAAACTTTTTTTTTGTTAACGTTTATTTTATTTAAGTTACATAAACTATTGTTTTGTGAACCCCAATTCATATGAAGATCATAGTTGCCTTTTAAATTCTTGTTGTACACTAATTTTTTTTTTTTATAATCTATGACGAATACAAACAAAGTGAGATCATCTCAAACCATTTTAATTTTGTGAAAATGAGTAAGGACAATTTTAGAACCCATTTTGTCTTCTTCAGTCCTGCAAGTGTTTAGCCCATTTCTTTAAGCCAATCCTTCCAAAAGTGCGCAAAAGGGATTTCAGATTGTCTTTGCCACTTTTCATAGTGTGTACTTTTTGTATTAAGTCACCTGACACTTTATTCCTTTAACTAGCTTGCACTAAGCTGTCTTTTGTAAACAAGAAAGAGTCATGATTGATCTGACACATTTTTTTTTTCTCTCTCTTCTTTTCAGTTCAGCATATGACCGTGACAATAAAGTACGTGTGGCGATCAAGAAGATCAGCCCGTTTGAGCACCAGACGTACTGTCAGCGCACACTGCGTGAGATTAAAATCCTGCTCCGCTTCAAGCATGAAAACATCATCGGTATCAACGACATCATCCGCACGCCCACCATCGACCAGATGAAAGACGTGTATCCTTTCAAAAGCAGTGTGAAGATGTTGAGACTGCAGAAGCAGTGGAATGTTTGGACATGAAGTGACTAATATTAGAACGTTTATTCATTTAATCACTAAGCAGATGCTTTTATCCAAAGAGACTTACAAATGTGGACAAAAGAAGTAATCAATATATAGTATATATCACAGAGACGCACACTGGAGAGAGAGGTTTTGTTGATAGGTTAGATTTTAAGGCAAAATAGAATAGAATGGAAGCTGAATAAATATATATACATGTTGTTTAGATGAAAAATTTAGATGATAAAGTTATTGTGATTAGAAAGTGATTTTTTTTTTTATTTATAAATAAAGGCAGAATAGAAAATATATTAGAAAGTTATAAGGCATAGGGATGGGTACCGAAATTCGGTACATTATCGGTATTGGTGCTACGTTATAATAGACAGAAGTATCGATAAGCAATGACATTAACGGTTCTGCTATCAGTACTGGAGAATTATTGCTGAATAAGCATTACTTATAGTAGCATAGTTTAACTGCCCAACCTTTTCTAATTTACTATATTTGATATTCGTCTGCACAGTTGGCAAACTCGCATGAGAAATGCTTGTGTTTCGGCGAGCGGATTAAGTATGAAAGCCTTCACAGTTCTCGGCTGTGCATGCGCACTCAGCGGAAGCTCGCGCTAAAGCTGGATTTATACTTTTGCCACATCATGCACCTCCACTGACTGCATGTGCACCTCGCGAAACGGACGAGGCTTTTATACTTGCCCCGTTCACCGTTGTGATATTGTGGGGCGGTCAAATGAATCTGACTGTAAAATCAGTCCGATAAACAGAAAGAAAAAGTTTCCAGAACTACGTGATATCACTACTATCATTCAGTATTTTTAAAGTAATTATTTTTTATTATTTTTATAATTTATTTTGTTGACCGTTGGATAGCGAAGGGGTGTCAAGGATGTAAGTTAAGAGCTGGGGCAGGGTTTGGTTGTTGCGGACGAAAGTGAAGAGTGTTGGGGAGTCGCGAAACAAAGTGAAAGTGAACAGTGGATGGGGGAGAAGGGTGAGCGAGGAGGGGGTTGGTAAAATGAGGTGCCGGATCAGATTTCAGATGTGCCAGATCCGGCGTGTTCCGGCACAAATTAAGCCCTGATGACAACAGAACATGGGTTGCTCTACAAATATTTTTATTATGGCATAAAGGAATAAAAAACAAAAAACAAAAAAGTACACTAAAAAATACAGATTTTTTTTTTCTTCTTTTGTTAGATTTAACCCACTCCAAAATTCACACATTACTGTCTGGTTCGTTTTTGTCTTATACGCGCACTGTTCACTCGAAAAAAAAAGCACTCTGCTAGCCGAAATCATGCCGCTCGCACCCAAAGCCTCAACAAACCTCCACAAACTCCACAATGACATCATATTGCCGCATTCCACACCGACTTGCGCGCACAGACGACTCGTTAGCTTGCGGAGTGAAAACAAACAGGTTGTATTTCCAGAGTGAACAGCAACAATGCCTGTAGCAACAAACGTAGCAAGTTTTTTTCTTGTATAAGCAGAAACGCAAGCAGTGTGGCTATGTCAAAAATATCTTTCAAAAGTGCATTAACTGCAATGAAAAGTAATGAAACGTTTTTGACTGTCTAGCTACTAATGGTAACGTTCCATCATCCACATTGTTATGCCAGCAGTCAATCACCTAAATTAGTATAATATTAATAAACAAGCAAAAACATTCGGTTACAATGAAAGCAGTGTGTTTAGTCTGCAGTAGCCTAATAACTTAAACATTAAAATTGCCTTTACATCAGCTGTATTTGCAAATTTAGCCTATGAATAGCCTAATAATATATTAAGAAATTATATTTAAAAAAAAACAAGTATTTTTATGTTGTGAGATGCTCCAAAACTGTATTAAAATCACAGTTAACTCCAAAAACACAATTAACTCATTCATGTGAATGCGTTAATGAAAAAGCATAAACATTAAACTGCATTTTGCAACTCAAAGAGGGTATTTTATACTGCAGGGAGCACAATAAACCAAGAATGATCCCGACTTCTGCCAGAAGAGTCAAACATGTTGATTTTTCTCCAAAAGAACCATTGTACATTTTTTTTTTAACAGAAAAAAATAAAATTGAATTAAATGTAATAATAAAATTAATTAAAAACGTAATAATAAAATAAAGTGTTGTTAATTCTGTTTAATTTGTTTTTTGTTTTCATTAAAAAAAATCACTATAATAAGTACCAATAAGAGAAGTACCAAACCAATAAGTGGTATCTATAAAAGTTGTAATACCGTTAAAACCTTAACGATACCCATTCCTAATATAGTAGGGTTCGCACAAGGTGCTTAAAGTGCTTTTAGAAATTCAAGTGCTGGAATACCTAAAAAATTGGCTTGTTTTGTTGAAAAGTGCTTAAAATTACCAAGGAGAATTTGTATGCAATTTTCACGCCAGAAAAATAAAAATGTTTGTGAACTTTTTGTGACAATGTAATGCAAAAATACCCGCACGAACTACTGTGATTCCGAAGTGGTGATTTGACTGATATGAAAAGTGACCAATCACAGTTTAGTTTTACGTGAAACGTAAAGGCAGGACAAAGGCCTTTTTGTGTTGCAGTGACAAAAAAACTACTTAAAAACAAGTGTTTTATTGGAATAATGCTTTTCGGATGTTTTCACCATAGAGATGTCTGTGTTATTAACAAGAGTAATTAAACTGCGGACATACTTTCTGCCATTTTGACGATCGACACACATTTGGCTCTCTTCTAACAGTGTACTTGTCTATTTTGCCAAATTATTTAAGTTTAAGATCAAGTGTAAAATAAAATCTCCATGTGATGTACAGCTATTTAAGAAACACATTTGTCATATTGTAAAGACAAGTATGAGCAAATTAAAAAATATTGTAAAATATGTCAATGAAAGGCAAAAATTGTATCTTTTCATCATATGCTATAATGAAGCCTTTTAAAGCTTGAAAATATTGTTTAAAAATGGACAAAAAGTGTCTCTATGGTCTTATTGAGTATGTGCTAGCTTGTTTTGCCAGTGCTATTGAAATCGACCATACTTCCTTTGTTAGTGCAAATTCCTTAATATGTAGCTTTTAAAACAAGTTTACATTTTAAAAAGGGCCTTAATGAAAATCAGATTTCTTTTTTAAAAATAACTAACTAGTACTCTAAGTAGTTTAAAAGAGTACCTTTACTTAATATTTGTATTATTTACTAACATTTGTATTATTTTAGCAGTGTAATAGTATTTTTAATTGAGTACAAAAAAAATATTTAATGCAGGTATATTGTATTATCAATTATTAATATATATGAATAATTAATATATTATTATTATTAATGTTTTTTATTTGTATAAATTCTTATGCAATGTTTTTATGGGTTGCTGTCTTGCTGATAATACATTTTAGGTGTTCAATATGTTGCGTGTCAGTCTTGGAAAAAAAAATAGGTGCTGGAAAAAGAGCTAAAAAGTCCTTAATTTTTCATTAGAAAATATGGATAGAATACCAGAGCCATTTCTACTTTGTTTATTAAAGATAAAGTAGAAAATAGATTATAACACACTGATGCTTAAATAATATAAAGTGTGTATACATAAAAAAATAAAAATATGAATAATAAAAAATAATAATAACAATAAGAATAATACAATAACAATAAATAAATGAAATAGCAAAAAAAGAAATTTTAGTTTTTTTGTCATTTTATTTATTATTATTTTTCTTGTAATGTATTTTTTATAAATATTATTATTTTTAATATTGTTTTTATTATTCAACTAATTTATATGTATTTATATATTACAAGTTACAATAAAAAATTGTTTAGAAATTGAAATTGATATCCTATAATTTATGTAATAAAATGCTAGAATAGATTAGAAGTATAGAGAAAGTAGTGCCTGCTAATAATAGTAGTGTTAATAAAAAAGTGGCATCTTTACATGCTTTTAGTTGCATTTTATCATGTGACTCCTTTTTTTTGTACAGAATTAGATGGGGGGTTTTTTCGCCATTGAAGCTCCAGATGTTTTTTTTCCCCTGTGCTTTTCATGCTTGTCAGTTCACATGCCGTTATCATTAAAGGGAAAAGGGGGCAATCCAAACAGATTAATTCAGATATATTTATATTCTAATCCATTCAATTTTTCTGAAAATACAGCCTCTGGCACAATTTGTGCTCCTTTCCAACTGTGTAGGCTGAGACAATGCACAAATCTCTAGTAAAGAGTTAATTTTAGGAGTGAAATCAATAGTCAGTAGGCGTCAGATAGTGAGAGTAGTTTAGTATGATCTAATCGTTCTGCTGTGTTGAGCATCATTTCAGAGCTGCTGCTTCAAACATGATCCTAAAGTCGTCAGCAGTTTAGTTTTATTTATATATATATATATGTATATTGACCTTATTCTATAATGAGGAAGTGCGCCTGTTTTCGCGATTGTCTTAGAACTTCCATTTCAGTCGCCTATGGGAGAAATGACAAGGAATAATATGCGGCAAAAAACGGTCAAACTACTTGCTCTACAAAGAAATGTTTGCATGACTATACAGACCAAGTAGAATAATATAACAAGGAAATATCAGTTTGCAACATCAAACAGCGAAACAAGCAGTTTTTAATGTCAAAAAATGAATGGAAGTGAATGAGACCGGAAGTCTTGTGCCAAAAAGATTCAAATGGCAGCGCCCACTCGTCTGCGGAGAATAGGGTCAATATATATATATATATATATATATATATATATATATATATATATATATAGAGAGAGAGAATTTTTTTAGGGGTTTTAACTTTTAATAAATAGAATACTGCAGAGAACTGACGGGAAATAGTTGGGGAGCAGAGATGGGGGAAGGGTCGGCAAAGAACTTCAAGCTGAGAATCGAAACTCGCCTTGAGTACCATGGTGCTATATGTCTGCGCACTTAACCACTAGCCTATTGGCGCCGACGGTTTTAGCTGTTTCATAAAAACCAAGCATTACTGCTTGACATGCTGTAATGAAGAATTGAGAAGCCCTTGTTGTTAGGGACACCAATGGCCATTATCTGAAATGCACCCAATAAAGTATTGACAATGCTCGCACTTGTAATACATCTACAGTATCCAACTGCTTAACGCAAATTTCTAATCAACCAATCATATGGCAGCAACTCAATGCATTTAGGCATGTAGACATGGTCAAGACGATCTGCTGCAGTTCAAACTGAGCATCAGAATGGGGAAGAAAGATGATTTAAGTGACTTTGAACATGGCATGGTTGTAAGTGCCAGACGGACACATTGAACCTTGAGGCGGATGGTCTATAGCAGCAGAAGACCACAGCGGGTGCCACTCCTAACAGCTAAGAACAGGAAATTGAGGCATCAATTGCCACAGGTTGACCAAAATTGGACAATAGAAGATTGGAGAAATTCATTGCCTGGTCTGATGAGACTCGATTTCTGCTGCAACATTCGGATGGTAGGGTCAGAATTTGGCATCAACGTCATGAAAGCATGAATCCATCCTGCCTTGTATCTGTTCAGGCTGTTGGTGGAGGTGTAATGGTGTGGGGGATATTTTCTTTGCACACTTTGGGACCAGTAGTACCAATTGAGCACCGTGTCAGCACCACAGCCTACTTGATTATAGTTGCTGACCATGTTCATGCCTTTATGAATACAGGCTACTTTCAGCAGGATAACATGCCATGTCATAAGTCATCTCAGACTGGTTTCTTGAACATGACAATGAGTTCACTGTACTCAAGTGGCCTCCACAGTCATCAATTCTCAATCCAACACAGCACCTTTGGGGTGTGGTGGAACGGGAGATTCGCATCATGGATGTGCAGCCGACAAATCTGCAGCAACTGTGTGATGCTATCATGTCAATGTGGCAAATGAGGGTCCAACCCGGTACAAGTAAGGTGTACCTAATAAAGTGGCCGGTGAGTGTACTTCAAAAAAATGAAATAAAAAAAAAACAAACAAAAGAAACTTCATTCTGCATGTGTGAACACCATGTTTGTTTAAAGGGATAAATCACCCATAATCATCTACTCACTATTTACTATTTCAAGGAGTTCCAAACCTTCTAGTTTCTTTCTTCTGGAAAACTCAAATGCCTCATTCACACCACCAGTGACTTTGTACCTGCCACTCTGAAATAAAAGCACAAAAACTGTCACAGGGGTGGTCCTCCCCAAGGTTTTCAAAAAGAACAAGTATATATATGTATTTTTAGATGCATACAAATGTGTACTATTTTAAGGCTCCAACCCAGCTTTAGTACAATTTCTGTTTAATAGTAGACTAGTGTTGTCACGATACTGGAATTTCAGGACCAATCAGTATTGAAATTTCAAAAACGTCCATTTCCCGCTAATATTTAAGCACTGTTGAGCGCATTCTTAAACACCACTGATTTGCCATTGCAGTCAACAGAAATGACTGTGATTGACCGTGGTTAGATAAACAAAGCTAGATTATTTAAAGCTTTATGGGTAAGAAGCAATATTTTAAAATCAATATGAAACTCAACAGGCAGTCAGTGTAAGGAGGATAAAATTGGGGTGATATGATCGTATTTTCTAGACCTGGTAAGAAGGCGGCTGCGTTTTGTACTAGCTGAACAGACCCCTGCTGAAAGAGGATCATGTGAGCTGTACTGATGCTCGTGTTGGCTGCTGCTCTTCATTTGCATAACGTTGGAGGATTCTCAACTTGGTCATTTCACTGGACACGCCCACATCTGGTTACTGTCACTCGTGTAGCCAGATATTGCCTAAGGTCTCACTCTTCATTGAAATGAATGGTCGCTTGTGGCTTTTTCACTGTGTGATACTCGTAGTATGAAAGGTGCTTAAAGAAGATGTTTTAACCATTGACTTCCATACAGGTCTCCAGTTTTCTTCAAAATAACTTATTTTGTGTTCAACAGAAGTCAAACATGTTTGGTAAAAGTAAATGACAGAATTGTTAGTACTGGTTGAAGTATCCACTTTTCATAGGGCATTTATTGAAATAATAATCTGAAAAACATGGTTACTGGGGGTTATTGCAAGACGTTTTTATATTGTAATCAGTGTCATTGAAGTTGCCATATCCTTGACCTTGTCGAACCACAGTTACATCGTACAGGACCTGATGGAGACAGACTTGTACAAGCTGTTGAAGACGCAGCACTTGAGCAATGACCACATCTGTTACTTCCTGTATCAGATCCTGCGCGGCCTGAAGTACATCCACTCCGCAAACGTTCTTCACCGAGACCTGAAGCCATCAAACCTGTTGCTCAACACTACCTGTGACCTCAAGGTGAGCTGCCCTGTGCTTCTGGACCATTTTAAATGCTTTTAAAGGTGAAGGGTCTCATCTTGGACGTTATTGGATTATTCTGTTATGATTTGTTATAATGTTGTTGTTGTTGTTGTTTTTTTCCCTTCAGATCTGTGATTTTGGGCTCGCTCGGGTGGCTGATCCAGATCATGACCACACCGGCTTCCTGACGGAGTATGTAGCCACACGTTGGTACCGCGCACCAGAAATTATGCTCAATTCTAAGGTGAAATATTGATTTTGACAAATGCTAGCCTTTTAGAAGTGACAGCCGTTCACAATAGCATATTTATTTATTTATTTTTTACATTTTTTGCTAAGTAAATAAAACCACGCATAAAAACCCTAATTTATTACTTTGTTACATTGAACTTAAGGTTAAAGATTTTCCTTTAGTATAAATAGAAAATATATGTGCAAAAATATTTTAAAAAATATATCAGATTTTCTTTTAGAATTTTATATAATTTTTTTGTTTTTTTTAAGTCTTTATTTATTAATGTATTTTTTAAATTATCAAACAATAACCACAGATCACAACCAGTATATTCCAGTAAAACCAGTAAATTGACATCACAATATCATCATGAGCATCAAAACAAACTGCAGCTCAATAAAAAAGAAGTAAATGATCAAATAAATAAATGAAAAAATTGAATGGAAAAAATACATAATAAAATTATAATTTAATAACAAATTAACGCAGGGGCATATGGTGATCCACCAACGTTTTGCAATAACTTGCATGAAATCGAGGTGTTTACATACTTAAGGAACGACGTGCAGGTCTAAAAAAAAAAAAAAAGGGTACATTTTCCCCATTGACCAGTGGGTAATATATTCCAGTGACATAAGGTCAAATATTACTTATTGTTATTCTGACACTATTGTTAGCCCTGTCACAATATCTTTTATTTTTGGTACGATATAAAGAAACGCAATCTATTGCAATAAACTATGTTACTGTCATTTTAAGACCATTTTGACATTATTATAGCATCAGAAAGCAGCTACATGCTTCCAATGAACACAAATCATATTTTATTCTTAAAAATATTTTATTTAATTATAGTCATTTTAACTATTTAATAATTAGCAATTGGAATCAAAATATGAAAACTGACACCCTAAACAAATAAATAGAAATAATAATAAATGTTTAAAAAAATTGACCAAGGTAAAAAGAACTAGAAAGAAGTAACAGCTTTATTTTCAGTCAACATACTATTGTAATTCATGGTGAATACTATAGTGTTTTATAACCATACTGACACTGATGCCTCCAATAGACATGGAGATGTACAGTTGAAGTCAGAATTATTGCCCCCCTTTGAATTTCATTAAAAAAAAAATATTTCCCAAATGATGTTTAACAGAGCAAGGAAATTTTCACTTTAAGGCAAGGCAAGTTTATTTATATAGCACATTTCATACACAGTGGCAATTCAAAGTGCTTTACATAAACAAGAATAAAAGAAACAGGTAAAAAAAATAAAATTAAAACAAAAATTAAAACTGATTAAAAAAACATAAAAACAGGTGATATAAAAGAATGAAGAAGAAGAGAAAAACATAATAGTGCATGTCTGATAATATTTTTTCTTCTAGAGAAAGTCTTATTTGTTTTATTTTGGCTAGAATAAAAGCAGTTTTAATTTTTTTTTAAACCATTTTAAGGTCAAAATTATTAGCCCTTTTAAGCTATATTTTTTTCGATTGTCTACAGAACAAACCAATTAACTTGCCTAATTACCCTAACCTGCCTAGTTAACCTAATTAACCTAATTAAGCCTTTAAATGTCACTTTAAGCTGTATAGAAGTGTCTTGAAAAATATCTAGTCAAATATTATTTACTGTCATCATGGCAAAGATAAAATAAATCTTAATTATTATTAGACTTATTATTATGTTTAGAAAGGTGTTGAAAAAATCTTTCCATTAAATAGAAATTGTGGAAAAAATAAACAGGGGGCTAATAATTCTGACTTCAACTGTATATTGCATCAACAAAAATGATCGAGGACATGTCCATGTGTTGTGCGATAAGTCCATATATTGACTATTGTGACAGGCCTAACTGTCAGTGGTTTATCAGATTTCAATTTGAGAAATAAACTCTGACAGGCTGCATAGAAAGGTTAAATAACTTCCTGTTTGTTGAACTCTATATATTAAGTGGATTGAGGTCATATCCAGTAATAATTAAAAGACTGAACTGTACTCAATAGACTTTTACATGCAGTTCCAAAACAGTGCATAAAGTCACCCTCTTCTGCTTTGCACTTTAGACAATATGGAGAATAATTTGTTTAGCGTTTTATTCATTAAAGTCTTTAATTCAATATCTTTTTCTTGTATGAATCGCTACAAGTATAGTTAAAATTATTGCGTACGGAGTTGAACCATGGTACACTCAAACTTTGCATGGTGTTGTTCTTTACACCCGTCAGACATGACTAATGATTCTTAATCAATAAAAATCATGATTCATATAAGATTAAAAGCTAAATTTGTGAATTTTTATGTCTAGTGCTCAGCATATATAAGTACACCCCTCACAAATCTCTCTTTTAAATTCATATTTTTAATAGGAAGCTTTACAATATTATATTTGTGCAAATACATTAGATTAGTCAATACTAAAGCCAAATCTGGAGCTTATCTAACAAAATAACTTACAATAACAGTCCAAAAACCAGTACACACAAATTCATATGTTAGAGAAAAATATTAAATACAAGTTTTAAATAGAGGAAAAATTAAGAAAAGCAAAATAAAAAGAAATATTAGTTGAAATTTTGTAGGTTGTAAATTTTATGCAATATTTTGCTTAAATTGAAATCAATCATCTTTTAATTTCTAAATGAGTTTGGTTGCTAAAATATTATTATTATTATTATTATTATTATTTTAATAATGTATTTATTAAATGTTTAAGCAATACAGATACAACAACAAACATGTGAACAGATCATGGGGGGGAAAGAAAGAAAAAAAAAGGAGGGGGGGAGGGGGGGGGGGGCATTTATAAAAGTATCGATATTGCATATTCATGCACCACAAACCTTCACAAGATCTGACCTTGTTAAATTCACCCTCTGATGATTATGGAGGTTATGTTTAAATCCATATGTAACAAAAAAGGATCCCACCTCTCATGAAATAAAACATCTTTGCCATGTAACACACAAGATAAGTAGTAGTCCAGTGGTACATATTCAAGTATTCCCCTGTGCCATAAAGAGTTTGTTGGAGTTTTGTCCGTTATCCAGTCCAGAACATTTTCTTGCACAAAATGTCAGGAACTTGCAAAGTGTTTTTTATGTTTGTCTATATCAATCTCGTCGAATATCCCAAGCAGCAAATGCTTGGGGTTGCAACCAATATTAATACATAAAATTCCATTATTTCTTGTTCAATCATGGCCCAGAACTTTTGAATTTCCATGCAAAGCCAGAAACAAAGAACAGGGTCGCTTTCCTCGGTTTTACATTTCAGACGCATTGGTGACAACTCCTCTTTAAACCTGTGCCTTCATGAGGGAGAGATGTGAGCTCGATGTAGAATTTTCAGTTGTAAAATATTATTTTAAGAAATATCTGTTTAATAAATCTGTTTTGTTTAAATGCATCAAAATACATTGCCTATATTCACTGAGAAATGGACCAAAATATTCATTTTCTAAGAGGGGGGGGGGTGTACTTAATTATGCCGAGCACTTTACCAATCAACAATTTCTTAATATTTTTTTGTCTCTCTCCTCAGGGTTACACTAAATCCATTGATATATGGTCTGTTGGTTGTATTCTGGCTGAGATGCTTTCAAATAGACCCATCTTCCCCGGGAAACACTATCTGGACCAGCTTAACCACATCTTAGGTAAACAAGCATGTGAACTTTATATTTCCTTTGTGAAGAGCGTTTGACGTCACGCTACTCAAGGGTTCGGCTTTATGTTCTTGTGGAGCATCAGCCAATCGAACAGTAGTAGCCGTGATGTCAATTGTCCTTTAAGAGCAGTCGATTAGTCCCATGACATTTACGGGTTCTTAAAAATCATTGTGTTTCACAGGAAAAGGGCTGTAGAGCTGCTTTGAGATTAATAAGAGTGTTCTCAAATAGTGCTGCCAGGTATTACGGTGTTTGGCTTAGCTTGTAGTTTCACTACTTGCACGCAGACTGATTCTTTTGAGGTTAAATAAAATGGGTCAGAAAAATTTGAGCACAAGGGACAATGATGATTTATTCCATTCCGATAAATGAGAAACAATTAATTTAAATAATATATGTAATTTGCTGTTATGGAGTTTTGAGATATATAAACTGCAAAGACATGCAGATTGTAGCTTGTTTTAGCAATATCTTTTGAGGTAAATTATGGTAAAATATTTTTCTTATAGGAATAGTTTACATTTAACTGTAAATTAAATTAGTAAAACTAATTAAAATTTGAAAAGATATTTTAGTTTGTTATTATTAATTGTATTAATTATTACAGTCCTGTTTAGTGAAAAATATAATTAATAATAATTATATTTCTCTTGTTTAGTATTATTGGTCTAATTGTACTTATTTATTAATAGTAATACATTAAAATAATAATTAGAAATAATTAATAATAATAATAGAATCTAATATAATAATAATTATTATTATTATTATTATTAATTAATTCACTTACTATGTGCTATTCATTCATTTTCTTTTTCGGCATAGTCATTTATTAATGAGGGGTCGCCACAGCGGAATGAACCGCCAACTTATCCAGCACATGTTTTACGCAGTGGATGCCCTTCCAGCTGCAACCCAACACTGGAAACACTCATACATTCTCATTCACAGACAAACACTATGGACAATATAATTTATTCAATTTATCTATAGTGCATGTGTTTGGACTGTGGGGGAAACCAGAGCACCTGTAGGAATCACTGGGAGAACATGCAAACTCCACACAGAAATGCCAACTGACCCAGCCGAGACTCGAACCAGCGACATTCTTGCTGTGAGGCGAGAGCGCTACCCACTGCGTCGCCCTATATGTGCTATCAAGCGAAATAATTTAATAATAAATTTTATTGCTTTTGTTGCGTAGTATTGTTGGTATTGTTTTTATTTGTTTTATATTAATAAAATTACTAATGTGTATTGCTTTTAAGTGGCATTATTGGTATTAATTTTATTTATTAATACATAAAGGATTTTATAATAGTAATAATAAATATGTATAAATTAATAAAATTTTTAAAATCTATTATTAATATTAATAATATTTTTGTTTTGATAAAATCACATAGTATGATGTGCTATTTAGTGAAATAATATAATTAATAATTAGAGTATTTTTTGTTAAGTAGTATTATTGGTATTGTTTTACTTATTTAATAATCCCAATAAAAGCAAATAATATTTATGATTAAAATCACATGTAGTAGTAGTAATAATAATAATAATAATAATAATAAAATGAAACATTTGAAAATATTTATTATTATTATTGCTTTGTTTAATAATCCTAATTAAATAAAAAAAATTATAATTAAAATAACATAATGAAATAATAATTACAGTAATAATAAAGTATTTTAAATTATTATTATTATTATTATTATTATTTATAAAATCTCATATAATCATATAATTATGATGACAAAATAAAAAATCTTTTTAAAACGGCAGTCACAATTATTGGAAAATTATTTTTTGAATAATAGAATTAATAATGGTATTGCTTTTGTTTAGTATTATTGGTATTATTTTACTTTTAATAATAAACCTAATAAAATCAAATAATAAAAATTATTATTAAAACCACTCATTTAAAAAAAACATGTTATAACTTTGTTTAATAATTTTAATAAAATATAATAATAATAATAATAACAATAATAAATCTCATATAATCATATAATTATGATTACAAAATAAAACAAAATCTATTTAAAAATGCAGTCACAATTATTAGAATATTGTTTTGCGAATAAAAGAATTACTAATAATGGTTTTGCTTTGGTTAAGTAGTATTATTAGTATTATTTTACCTTTATTTTACAATGCTAATAATAAAAAAAACTATTAATTATAATAATTCAATAATAATAATAATAATAACAACAAAAAAAGTATCATACATATCTGAAAATGCAGTCACAATTATTGTAATATTTCCTCATGCCAAATCTTAATTCAAATACATCCAAGCTTTGTTTTACACATGAACTGTTGATGTCGAGGTGTATTCATAAATCACATGACTCTCTCTAAACACCGCTCTGACATCACACCCAGTGACATCAGTCTCTTCTTCAAAAGAAACTCGAGGTTTGTATTTTTTTTTCAGTAGGATTTCAAAAAGCTGTCCATCCATAATGAAAAACATGCTTACTCGCTGATCTGAATAATTGATGTACATGGAGCGCTCATAGGCCATTTATCACCAGTGCCGAAACGCGATATACTGCGGTCAGTTTTGCATCGTAAGACTGAGATAAACGTTTGATGGTTATCAGCAGAAAGGCTTCATCATCATTTCCCCTGCAACTCGAAGCACATCAGTCGTCGCTCGCTTCCCTTCTCTTCATTTTCCTTTTCTTCATCTGATGCATCAGTTCAAAACCCAGTGTTTCCTGTGAGATGCTGTTGATTTTGACCCTGCGCTGCGCTGATAACGTTGTCTGTGCTTCGACATTGTTTTTCTAACAAACCTGTAGTGAGGGCTCCTAAGGAGGTGATCTCTATAGTAATGTTGTCTTTCATGTGTGTGTGTGTGTGTGTGTGTGTGTGTGTGTGTGTGTGTGTGTGTGTGTGTGTGTGTGTGTGTGTGTGTGTGTGTGTGTGTGTGTGTGTGTGTGTGTGTGTGTGTGTGTGTGTGTGTGTGTGTGTGTGTGTGTGTGTGTGCGTGCGCGTGTGTGCGCGTGTGTGTCTTTGAACCAGTCTGGCCTTTGCGAGCAGATGTTTCCCTGTTGATAACTGTACTTATTTCCTCATTTAGATTGTGTGTGTGTGTGTGTGTGTGTGTGTGTGTGTGTGTGTGTGCATCATTAGCTTTAGTGCACTCTGGGCTTTTGTCGTATCGTCTCTCATTCTCTGAACATGCATTTTTATCAAATTTGGAGTCCAGTACAACTCAAAAAAAAAAAGTGTGTTTTTTTTAGGACTGCAGGATACTAGAGAAATGTTAAATATACAGATATTTTCTTTGCAATATAACGTTTTCAAGAAAAGTTTTTGGTCACATTTTACTATTTGGTTTCAATAGTTAATGTTTACTAACATGAACTGAGTACTGTGCGTTCACACCGAACGCGGCAAGAGTGTCAGAATACACTACATTGATCTCGTATTTAAAGGGGTCGTTGCAGCATATCAGTTATATTCCTGCATAAAACATGCTTTCTAGTGTGATAATGTTGCGCACTTGTTTTCAAATTCGTTTAACAATGGAAGATTAAGTTGCATGTGGTGTGGCTTTGCTCCACTTAATTATCCAATGTGTCCATATGTCTGAAATATCCTGAAGCAGGAATATTGTTTTGTACTGTGTGTGAGTTTCCCTCTTTTTTTAAGATAAATATATATAACATTAATGCACTTCAGTTACTCGCCAGTAACTTATTTAATGCATGTTCCTGTATGAAAACATTGTAAAAAATTGTAAATCCGGCGACCGCAATAATCAAACCCTTGGGAACAACTGTGATCAGAACCAAAGTTCACAGGTCTGTGTTCTCTGAACTGCTCTCAAGCGGTGGACTTCTTCATTCTGATTGCTTGCCGCCGAACCGCATCATTGCTCATTACCATAAAGTTGACTTGATTTCAACTCTCCTCGACGCCCACACTGGCAAGACGCGCCGCGCTGCTCCTCACCGCCGGCTCTCATTGAAAATGAATGACTTCGGGCTACTTTGACGCTCTTGCCGCTTTCGGTGTGAACGTATGGTTATGAAAGGTACTTGAACAGCATTTAATAATTATAGTTGTAGTTTAATTATAGTATAGAACATTTACCAATGCATTATAAACATCTAAATTCATGCTTATTAACATTAGTTAATGCACTGTGAGTTGACATGAACTATCAATGAGCATCTGTATTTTCATTCATTAACGTTAAAGATGCAGTCTGTAAGTTTGACACCCAGTGGTCGAACTAGGTATTGCACCCCTGGTTCAAAACACATGCAAGCGCAGGTTGCGAGATTGACAGTGAGTGCAGATTGATAGTGAGTGCACTATTCTGTACTTTTGAATGGCAGTATTTAATTTTCTGTCGTGTTTCGTCTGGCGTAAACAGTTAAATTGCTCATCACTGAAAATCTCGTCAATGTGGCGTGTTGTTAGGAAACGAGGTTACAATGTAACCTGCTCGCCTAATGTTTACGCTTGTGTCACGACTTCTGGGTGTTAGAATAGGGACTGAAGTAACATTTATATTGTGAAAATTTTGTGTAATATGGGAGAAGAACAACCATACATCAAGCAAAATACTGCACAACGACATACTACATTAAGTTATGATTGAATCGCCTCTTGTTACTGATTTGAAATACTTTGATAACGAGCAGGAAATGTGCATGGACCAATGATATGACAACATTGAAATGGTCTGTAAATATAGTACAGCCCCATTTGATTGGTTACATCATATATATATATATATATATATATATATATATATATATATATATATATATATATATATATATATATATATATATATATATGTATACACACACACACACACACACACACACACATACATACATACATACATACATACATACATACATACACATATATATATATATATATATATATATATATATATATATATAGTATACACACACATCATATATATATATATATATATATACACTTAATGGTAATGAGCTATGACGCGGTTTGGCGGCAAGCAATCAAACACAACTTGATCTTCCATTGTTTTATGATTTTGATAAGACGTGTGCAACATTTTCACTCTAGAAACATGTTTTATGCAGAATTGTAACTGATATGCTGCAACGGCTCCTTTAAATACGAGATTAAGGTAGCGAGTTTTGATGCTCTCGCCGCCGGAGCTGAAGGCAGACAGCGTTGTCGCCAGGGCGGCCAGAGCGACCTTGGACGCTCTCGCCGCTTTCGGTGTGAACGTACTGTTAGGAGCGTATTGGGAGCGACACCCTCACGTTTTCCTGGCTCACCTACTTGAAAACATCTTAACTTTTTAGAATGCTGCAAGGACACTGCGAGTCACGTGACAAGAACTGACCAATCCGCTTCATGCTTTGAATGGAATGTACACTAATTACCTCAGTCAAACAGAGCACTGAGACACTGCAGTGCTTTGTCATTTTCTCCATAAATAAAACTTCAATAAAAAAATCAATGGTGAAGGAAGAGCAGCGCACCTCGCATTTTCCATGTGCTTTGGAACACTATATGTGAACGGGGCCTTAGACAGGTTTTTCAAATGAAGACGCATAAGAAATAACACACTACAACAAGAGAGAGTGTAGGGTGGTCTGGCCTTCTCTTTTATGTGTGGTGTTGGGATGTCAGCAAATGAATGTGATTGACATGTGATGGGACCAATGACCGGAACCAAAGAAAACGAAAGCAGACAATAAGAAAAGAAGGGGAACAGAAGGAAACCGACACAAAATAACACAAGCACATGACAGCAACTGATTTGTGTTCCGCAGATTAATGACTCTGAAAAAACTTTGTGACAACGCTCATTTTTCACCTTCTGTCCTGTCCTCTTCCATACTCTAATCCTCTTTGTTTGTCTTGTGTCCTGCAGGTATTTTGGGCTCCCCTTCTCAGGAGGACCTGAACTGCATCATCAACATTAAAGCAAGAAATTACCTGCTGTCCCTTCCTCTCCGCAGCAAAGTGCCCTGGAACCGCCTGTTTCCCAACGCAGACCCTAAAGGTCAGAGTTCAGCTCCACACGCTTTCAGTAAAGGAAACCAGTCCTCTTATTTGGAGATCAAGCCACCTTAAAAGGCCCCCTGAAGTGCCTTGAACTGTGCAGTTGAAACATGAAGGTAGTGCTGGATATATCCGATTGCTCCCCTTAAAGGAGTCTGGCAAGAGCACTTTTAGCTTAGCTTAGCATAGACCATTGAATCGGATTAGACCATTAGCATCTTGCACAAAAAAGATCTTCTGGTGTTATATTATGTACTAAGACAGTTTTACAACTTCTTAAATAAGCCGATCTCCAAGTCTGGCAAGAGCGCTTTTAGCATAGCTTAGCATAGATCATTGAATCAGATTAGACCATTAGCATCTCGATCACAATTGACCAGTATTGAATTTTCCTACTCATCTACATTGTGTACTAAGACCTACAGAAAATTAAAAGTTGCTATTTTCTAGGTAGAAATGTATAGGAACTATTCTATAATAATTAAAGAACTTTGTTGCTGTGCCATGGCTGCAGCAGGCACAATGATATTACGCAGTGCCTGAAAATAGTCCTCAGCTAGGTAAGCAGCACATGCTCCCTGTGCACGCAAGTGGTCATGTTAGTTACATTAATGGTAGTCAACTGATTTTCAGGCACTGTGTATTGTGCCTGCTGCAGCCTTGATACAGCAGCAAAGTTCCTTGATTATTACGCCGAATAGGGAGTAAAGTACCTAGTTCCTATATCGGCCTAGAAAAATAGCAACTTTACATTTTCTGTCGGTTTTAGTACAGCATGTAGAAGAGTTGAACTTTAAATAGGAAATTGACCAAACCTCTAGTCATTTTTGATCGAGATGCTAATGGTCTGATCCGATTTAATGATTTATGCTAAGCTAAGCTAAAAGTGCTCCCGCCAGACACAGAGATATACTCGATGAATTTAAAATTGGTAAAACTCAACTGTTTAACTCTAGGGAAGTTTTAAAATGAGCCTATTTTTTAAAAAAAAGTGAAGTGTTACTTTAAGAAAAGATAGCCAATAGTGTTTCTTTTATCAGAGCTCAGCCATTGAGCCTATTAGGGAGCATCTGATTAGTCAGAAAGTTTAATGATAAGGTAAAGTGTGCAAAGACATCATTAACAAAAAAAGTCAGTCAAGTTAATGATGCTAAAATTTTCGAAATGCGGATTTTGTTATAAATGACCTTAAGATTAACTTGTTAATAAGAACAACAAACCCAACTAAAACTTTTATTTTGATTTAAATGTTTGATTTCTTTAAATATAAAATGACTTTACGTTCACAATGTGACTTGCGTATAATTTAAGTGCTTCGTGAAATTTACTGTTATAACAATAAGCTGAGCAGAAGTATGCTTCATGACATCCACTTTTTTTTTTTTTTTTTTTTTTTTTTTTTTTTTTTTAAAGAGCTGGTTTGATGTTTGTGTTTCTCTGTCTTTGTTCTAGCGCTGGACCTGTTGGATAAGATGTTGACCTTTAACCCCCATAAGAGGATTGAGGTGGAGGAAGCGCTCGCTCACCCGTACCTGGAGCAGTACTATGATCCTACAGATGAGGTCAGTTCACCTCTAAAGCAGCTACTGTAATTCCTGCAGCGTTGTTGGAAATAGTATACTTGGATTAACATTAAGCACAACATAGATAATAATAATAACTGTTATTATTATTACTACTACAACTGTTCAGTAAGATAAACACTGCTCTAAATACAATTATAATCAAGTAAAATATTGCAATAATAATAATAATATTTTGTTTAATAATCATAATAACATTAATAGTATTGTTATTTATGATTAATAATATGATTTATAATTAATTATCAATAATAATAATAAAATAATAATAATAATAAGCATGTGCATGGTAGATTAATCTGTGTCAATAGTGTAGTTTTTAATTAGACTAATTTTATCAACATTATAAAATCAATTGTGGCAAGCTGTATTATATATTTTATGTATTGGATGACTTTACATTGCAGCTTGTTTAGTCATTTAAATATTTTAAGGAGATAATATTTTGATAAACATTAACATTAGGTGCAACACAGATCAAGATTATAATAATAATAACTATTCATAATTCTACTGCTACTACCAACTGTACAGTAAGATTAAATATAATTGCACTAAATATAATTAGAGCAAGACAAATATTGCAATTATAATAATAATAATAATAATAATAATAATAATAAATTATTATTTATATAATAACAATCAATTATTTTTAAATAATATTTTTAATTTTTAATTTTTATTTAAATTTTTTTATATTTATTTTTTTTATTTTTACATTGCAGATTATTTTTTACTTTAAATATTTTAAGGAAAAGGTGCAGCTTTACATTCTGCTGTCCTCTGTTTTCACTAGTTTTCTATGTTCTCCGCTCTTGCCTATCTTGAGTTTATGGTGATTAAAGGTTAAGAGAGTTTTACTCAAAAACCCTTTGAAGTGCACTTTTAATAGCCACAATGACCTTTGACCGTCTGAAGAGTGTCTGCTAAAATTTATCAGTGTCTTTAAGCATACAGATTATGTTAATCCTGCAGTTTTGCATCCAAATATTGCAAAAAAAACATTGTTTAACACCTGCTAAGTAATATAAAAGAATATGCCATTTTTAATATTGCTGTACTCCACGATAACCAGCAATACAGCAAAATTCAAATTCTGAGAAAAACTGAACATTCTGCATGCGCTTGCCTGAAAATCGAACCTAAAACTACTTTTGTAAAAATGATTATTTATTATTTTTATTCAATAATTTAATTATTTTATAACACTTGTATTTGATTTGCTTTTCCAGTGAGCGTGTGCGGTTCATGCATTGATAAGTATACATGTACATGAACAGAATATCCACAAACATCCCAAGTCTTCCGGAAATTCCAGGAGTGTCCCGCAAATGCATAAAGACTCCCGGATGGCCACAAACTAATCATAATCTCCCAGAAATCCTGCGTCGCCTCTTGCTCTTCAGATACGTCGCGCACTCCCACTGCTCTTCATATACGTCGCGCACCTAACCCCACTCCACCCCCCCTCCCTGGTCTTCAGATACGTCACGCACCTCCCCATCCCATTCTCCCACAAATCATCTCTGTCTCCCCTGGAAATGACTTTTGCCTAGTTGTGATGTCTGCATCCATAGAGCAAAATATTGAGCTAGTTTAAACTTTGACCGAGGCACACACATGCAAGCTAGTCAACAGTTCTCCTCTAGTGCTCCTGGTTGGTGTGGCTTTTTCGAAACCAAAAATTTCATTTTCAGCAATTAATCAGGTATATCTCTAATGATAACTATGCTTTATTTAGATCTCTTTCTCTTTTTTTTTCACAGCCTGTTGCTGAGGCTCCGTTCAAGTTCGACATGGAGCTGGATGATTTGCCCAAAGAGACTCTGAAAGAGCTGATCTTTGAAGAAACCGCACGCTTCCAGCCAGGCTACAGACCATAGCTGTGCACACAGGTAAACCACAGAGTAAATGCAGGATTACAAAATGACCAACAAAATCAAGAGCATCATATAATGAACAAAAAAAAAAAAAAAACATGACGGTTTGTCATGTAACTGTGTGTAAAAGATCCAGTCATTTTTAAATGCTGCAAAAGAGGGATTTGAATTCTTAAAATGAATCATGTACACCTAAAAAATGACTTTTGCTGCTTGTTTAAACTACTTATTTAGAATGAATTGAAACAACATAATTCTTCCAGTTTTTTTTGGGACAATTTAATTGTTTAATGCTCAGTCCACTTAAATTTGTAAAAACTATCATGTTAACCTAATCGATTTGTGTTGGGACAACACGAAGGAATTGTGTTGAACCCATTTTTTACTGTTTACACATAAAAGAGATTTAAAGTTGTTGTTTTTTTGTTTTTTTTGCAAATGCAATTTAATATTTTGCATGTACACCACAGATCAGTCATACTGTTGAAAAGGTATTATTATTTCTTTATTAATTCATGTCTTCTTTATTAATTTGTGCTCGCCAAGGCTGCATTTTACAGCTGATGAAAATGATTAGCTCTCCTATAATTATAAATAATTGTTTTTCAAATATTTTCCAAGTGCTGTTTTACAGCAGGGGCGCCACTGGGTTGGAAGTTAGGACGATTCTAAGGACAATAGAAGAGCATTAAAGATTTTGAGTTGAATCAGTAGTTCTTGGTGATTCATATATCGCCAGTGAGTGGTAGTTCTTTTTATTTTTTATTTTTTTGATTAAAAATAAATGCAAATAAGTCAAAATTAATAGCCATGGCTCCTAATGACACACTGAAGGCTGATTTAAAAGTTTCTATAAATACCAAACATATTTCAATCTCTCTGGCATAGTGCTTAATGGTAGGTAAAACGCTAAAATACGCTGGAGGAACACAAGGGCCCAAAAAACTAAAGCGTAAAACAAGTCATTGTGGCACAAAAGGCCTTGATCAGTGCTTCAGTGCGTCCTTTTATTCAGAGTAGGTTGAGATGAGAAACAAATCGAATCCATCATTAAATTTCCTCCATTAACCGCCTTCCTTCAAACAAAGTATAAACACCGAGTGAACACCAGAGGACAGCATAGATCCACACACATTAACTAAAGGTCTTAACACCCCCACCCTTAAAAATAAAATATCAATGTTTTGATAATGTAAACCTCTCTTATGACAGATCACCAGATTATAAATAATAAGAGACCAATGCATAAGGGTTTAAGATTGCATAAGATGGTTTGCATTTGACAATCGCTGCAAAAACACAAGGGAATTGTAATCAGTATACACTTTAATAGGTTTGGAACTGGACCCAACACATACCTGTCAATATTGGGATGTGAAAATAAGGGATATGCCCACCATAACAAGGGATTCCCCCGAATTTTATGCTCATTTAGGAAAAATTAGTTGTGTTTAAAAAATTGTTGTTATTATTAATTGTGTATATGTCTGTTCAAACATGCACCCAAAACCCAGAATTTTGCTCTGCTTCAGATTGAGTGTACAGAATCCGTTAGGGAAACAGCGTCTATTTAACATTATGGAGCACGTCAGCTGATAGTCATGCTCCATTATATGGCTGTTTTGAGGATTGCATATGAAGGGGAGACAGTGCCTGTAATGAAAAGGAAAGGGAATCCCGCCGTTTTCATATTTATTTCAAAGTGGTTTCATGCCTCAACAAACCGAAAGCACAGAACAGACTCTCATTTAAGAGCAAGGGGCGGCCCCTGGTGGTTTGGCAGTATTGCTTGCGTATAGGTAGGATTGGCTCTAATGTTTATTTGCCACCCTTCAGAGAAACACTGAAAATACGGGAGAAATACGGGAAAATAATTTATAGTTCTATCCTGGAATAATAGCGGGATAGAACTGTAAAATACGGTAGGGTTGACGGGTATGACCCAACATAGACTTCAAAATGTTGCAAAGCAAGAAATAAAGCGAGAGCTTCCTTTTCTATAGTGCTGTAATTAACTTGGTGTTCTTGAAAAGAAACTCATTGGATAGTTTAAACCAAGGAAAACAGCACCTGCACCCAAACCACTAGCTTCCACTTCTAACGAGAATTCCTGGTAGACTAATTCTTGTGCAATAAAAAATAATTTCCCTACTGGCAAATATTCACCCGACACCAAATATAAAAAGAAACTGACACCAAATATAAAAGCAGACACTAACCTGCTGTAATGCCTTCAGCAATGACTTAATCTCCAAAAGACAGATGAAAACATCTGTGAATTGCACCTCTGACAGGGACACGAGGGTTTAAAATTGCTGGAAAACATCTGCGGGTGAAGTATATTAATTGATCGCAACGGCTCAGTTTGGGATCACATCTCTGTTTTGTTCTGTTGATATATATACAAATATTCGTAGCTTGAAACAGGTGGAAATATGACTGAATTGAGCTGGCTTTTCGGTCCCCCACATGGCTTGATCCATGCCTGGCATTTCTGCCCTTGGGTTTTAGGTTTTGATAAAGGAAGAAAATTCCACCACCCCATCCAATCTTTTATGATACCGACATCAGATTTGTACAATCCAGATCGGTTTGGGTTGTTTCCCTCACTCGAAAGTTTGACAGACTTCCCATGCCTATTTACGGTTGCTAAGCCATGATTGGTTTGTGGCGGTTTTCGTGTGTGGCTTAGCGAAGGGTTGGTTAAAACAAATTATTGCTTAAGGGGGCGACTATTGACCTTAAAATGGTTTTAAAAAATTTAAAGTCTGATTTGTTTTACTTCGGCTAGAATAAAAGCAGACTTTAAATTTTTTTCTCCAGAAGAAAAAATAGGAAATACTGTCGAAAAATTCCTTGCTCTGTTAAACATCATTTGGGAAATATTTGAAAAAGAAAAATGTGATAATAAGGGCTAATAATTTTGACTTCAACTGTATATATGGATATTTGCACGTACAGAAATCAGTGTGTAAAGACATGCAGTGTTTCTGTGTTTAAATTCGGACGATTCTCTGAAAGCAGTAGCTGTTCCCTTTACACTTCCTGGATTACAAAAGACTGCCAAGAACATGAATATTATTAGAACAGTGAAACTACTTGACATGGTTACTCAGATTATTTCATTAGAAGAACTCTTTTATTCTTGTTGCATAATGACTGAAATATAGACAGACTGAATGCAAAACCACCAGCAGTCATGGGCTCGGTGCCTGTTGGTGAGTGATGCTTTGGAAACAATTCTATCCTGTAAACAATGATCACGATGCTGAGTTTATGCTTTATTAGTGACTGACAGTACAGATTGTTGTGTAACATGCAGAAATAATGACTGTTTTCTGTACCTTCCACAAAATCTTGACAAACCAAAGCTAAATATTTATTTATTTATCATAAAATATTTATTTAAAGAGATGCAAGGCTTATTCGGGATCATGCTTTAGATCAGGGGTCACCAAACTTGTTCCTGGAGGGCCGAAGTCCAGCAGATTTTAGCTCCAACCTTAATTAAACACACCTGATCAAGCTAATCAAGGTCTTACTAGGTATACTTGAAACACCCAAGCAGGTTGTTGGAGCTAAACCCTGAAGGGACACTGGCCCTCCAGACCAGAGATTGGTGACCCCTGCTTTAGATTATGTATTTAATATCATGTTGTTCCTAATAGAAATGTACACACTTTACAAAAAAAAAAAAAAAAAAGAACAAGCCTGTATTCTCACTAAGGCTGCATTTTATTCAGGTTTTGCTGTCGAGGATGGTTTGGACAAAAACCTGCCTGAGTATAGTGATGCTGGAAACACTGGGTCTCATTCACTGATAATTGCATTTATTTTTCATATGTATACCATACACTAAAAGATATAGACGTAGTATCTGTGATGTCACCCATAGTAGGTTTCTGATGAGCACAAATTAAGCTACGAGTAGGCGGGGCCAACCGATGCCATTCATTCATGTGTTATCGCACCGACCGGTGGACACCAAAAAAGGGCAAAGAGGTGGAGCATCAGTGGAGCTACAGATGCCCCCCACAGAAAATTCAATTTACAAAATTTACCCCCCACAGTCATCATGAAGGGTAATATTACCTTTATGCACCAAAACCATTATTTGTATCAGGCTGTAAACATGTTTTTATCAGCTATAAAATTGGCCAATTTAGCATATTGCAGTCAGTGAACATCTGGAGATCCCAGCCCCCAAAGGCGAGTCGATGAATTGCAGTTTCAGTTACTTCCGTATTGGCTTCACGAGGGAAAGCGGGATGTTGGTGCTTGATTTGCACGCATATTTGAACTTCTCACAAAAACTTTCCGCCTGATTCACAACACGTGTGTACGCGCATGAGCTCGTTCTTAAACTCGTTCTTCTGTTAGGGAATTTGGAGTCTTTGGAATGCACAAGTTTAGTAATTTGCATAGGACACACCCACACCTGCTCCATAAATGGGCTTTTCACAAAGAGGCACTAAAAATTAAAAGACAAATTATAAATTAAGAAAAGGCCGTTTAGGCACCTAAATGAAGGAAAAAGAACAGCATTGAATAATGTTAGATGTTGGAAGACACTTTCAGTTCTGAAAACACAAGGGGCTGTTAACTACATTTTAGTTGACTTTATAAAAAGACTTTTTTCAAAGGAGCAGAGCATGTTTCATGATGCTTGGCAGCTAAATTTGATCAACATTCTTGATGCTTGGGTGTTTTGTCTGCGCAGAGTCTTTTTTTTTTTTTTTCAACTGCAGTGCTCCGTCATAATGCAAGGCACAGCAGGCGAACATGAGATCCACGCAGGGCACATAAACAAACTAAGCACTTTATCCCCATAGAAAACCATTTTAAAAAGGTGCTTCTCGATGCAAAAAAAAAACACACATCTGGTGTGAGCAGAGCCTGAAACAGCCTTTCATCACTTTCTGAAAACTTATCTGTACATATCCTTAAGCACATTTCACACATAAATGTGTCTGTACGCATGTTTAGTGAATGGTATCCATTGCACTCTTTAAATGTCTTAAAAATACTCTTATGGTCTAGATTAAGGGGAACATGTACTTGTTATGATTTAGATTTTATTTTAAAAATGCATCTCTTTCATGCGTGTCTTACAACAGAGCAAAATAGTTTTTCTTAAGACCGAGACGCACCAAGCCGATTTTGGTGTTTCACACGTCACCTCTCGTCGAGTTAATATCGGAGCTCATTGAGTGGGGGTTGCACACTTGAACTGATTTAGTTAAAACAGAAACTCAAAAGAAAATTGTGCACCAAAGTGAGGACGGACAATGGCTTGTGTACAAATAATAGTGATAATCTGCTCTGCGGAGAGTGTAAAAACAAATCCTCTCATGCAGGCGCAGAACACATGCTGTTTAATCAGTCGGCTGCTGTCTGTTTGGTGTGTTCACGAGTAGCTTTTTGGTTTAGACGGAAGCAGATGCGAGCCAACAACACAATTGGGTTTCGTCGATGCTAGTTATTTGGTGTCGGCTTGGTGTGTATCAGCCTTCATATGTTTGTTTTCACTTTTATTTAATAGGACAGTTGAGATTTACTGACAGGAAAGTGTAGTCAGTAGAGAAAGGGGAAGGATTGGCAATGACCAGCAATCGAACTTGTCACCGTGAGCACTTTGATGCTATATATCACTAACCACTAGACTATTGACGCAGGCTGTTTATATTTGTTTTTAATTTGAAACTTTTTGTGCTGCCATTTTATCCAGTACTCTCTGGGAGAAGCTATCTCGTATCTCAATGGGACTATCATGGTAAAATAACGGACAAAAAAATAATATATATATGTAAAATAAATAACCCCACTTTTTCTATCTTTAGGCGTTGGTCTGGATTGATTCATGCTGATGCTTCTGTCTCCACTGTGCGCTGTGCTCCTCTTTCGGCCTTTATCGTCTTCATCTTCATCATCTTGAACCGTAAAACTACAGCCAGCCCTCAACGTTCACCTGAACCCAGCCGAAAACATCAACTCCTTCGTCCATTACACTGGAAGAAAAGTGTAGAGCTTCTCTCACACTCTTCCTCTGCATCTCGTCAAGGTTTTTGATTACGATTAATTCTTTCTCTCCCAGTCCTCTGATATACTTCAGTGAAAAAAGACAAAAAAAAAAAAGCGTCTATGATTGTGTTGTTGTTGTGCTTCTTTCTAGCCTCCTGTTAATATTTCCAACAAGCTGCTTTTCTAAGGTGTCTGTAAGCCATTTCGAAGTCCCGCAGAGGTCAAACAGGGCAAGAACCAGGGGATTTCCTCTATTCTTTTCTATTTATATATGCAGTGGACGTTCGCTTATCCACATTGTGCATCGCCAATCTCCTCTAAATGCACGGAGCGCTAAATTTGCCACGGTGCCATTTTAAGGCTTTAATGTATTTTCGTAAAACTCAAAGAAGTATTTACTAATGATGACCCCTTAAAAATCGATTTAGCAAATTATGTTTTATACATTTAAACCCCCTTCTATGTGCCTTTAGGCCTTTATATATAATTTATAATCACTTCTAGAATATAGAAATGTTCGAAAATAAGTAAATATTTGTACTTCTCTAAATCATGAACGCAATCATTTTAGGAAAGAAAAGATTAATCTGTTGAATTTGCTTAAGCACCAAAGAAAATATTGTTTTGAAGATGTTAAGTTGATCCAAAAATTTAAATCTGCTGTCAATTTATTCAAGATTATGAGTGTAATTTTATTTCTTCAGCAGAACATATAAAGATTATTCATAAAATGCACTTTGAGAGTTAAAATAATGAATACTTGTGGCTCCTGACGATACATCAAGCTTTTGTGAAGCAAAAAAACTGACAATTATTTACAAAATCATTACCATCGTTGTAAATAATGTTCAGTTTCTAGCACAAACTGATTGTTTTGCTTCATCAGAACTGCCTGTTTTATCAGGAGCCACAGATTTAATAGGTTTATTTTGCCTGTATATAGTTTTGGATATCTGTAGATACACATTTTGAACTATCAAAGATCACGGGTTTAGCTAAAACTCTTTTGTTCTACTAAAGAAAAACAAATTTACATTTTAAATGGCCTGAAAATGAGTAAATTACAGCACAATTTCAATTTTGGGTGAACGCATTCCTTTAAGACAACTTTGGAAAATGAGTATTAGTGTCCAAATGTTGATCTGAGCCCTCAAATTACCTGCCAAAACAACGCAAGTGCCATGCAGGTATATGTATTTCTAAAAATCCAGGTTTCTAGTTTTTTCTTAAACTAGAGATGCACGTAGATACATTTTAGGACTTCATCACTTTAGCTAGGTTTAGAGGAACTTCTGTCACGGGACAAAGAACAATCCTACGATTTTTTTTCAGTCATTATTGGTACTTTTTGATGTCTGTTCTAATCGTACAGTGCCTGTTAATCTGTATTTATTCTTTCCGTTTTGTATAATTCTTTCTCCTTTTGCTTTCCCAAACCTCCCTCCCCAGCCGCCTTGTATCAATAAGACTGTGCCCTTGCATGACTGTTAAAAAGCTTTCTATACAAAGAAAATGGAAGTGCCACACTGCTGGGGATTCTGCTATTGGACTCTCAGGTTTTTGTTATATCCTACCTTTTGCGGTCTCACATTTCCTATATATAGAGTATTATGAGTTCAAAAAGTAGAAGACAAAAATAAACTATTTTGCTTGTACATTTCGGTCGCACTTCTTTCAAAATCCAGGTTCCTTACGGTGTTTGAAGAAAAGAATAATAATAATAAAGATGAGCTTTTTTTTAGATGAACAAAATCAGCCAGCTCAGCCAGAATGTCAGGTTTAATTCCACATGGAAATTAGGAGCCTCTAGCCATGGTAATGCACCTTTTAGTAATCTGTTCATAAGATTCATGATTTATTTAGAATAAGAAGGGAAAAAAGCCTTCTCTTTCAGCTTTAGAAAAGTGAAGTTAAAATGTGAAGCCATCTTGCTCTGATGGCTTCATTTGGAGCCGGAGTTTGTGCAGTAGCTGGAGCTGTAGTAAGTCCCGCCCTGCCAGGGCCAATCACAAGCACACTTTTGCGAAGGTACACCCGGTTTTTAATAGCTTCAAATATAAACAACTAGAAAAACACTTGAACATGGTTGTAATCATTTTATTAGTGCTTCGTTTGGCTCACAAACTGTTTGTTTGCATGGGGAGGGCTGGGTTTATGAGCAATACTAGAGCCACAGAAGACATTTAAAATGTTTTGGCTTCACTTTTCTTTTTTTAGCTGTAGAAAAGTGAAGCCAAAATGTGAAGCCATCTCGCTCCCATGGCTTCATTTGGAGCCGTAGTTTGTGCAGTAGCTGAAGCTGTAGTATTAAAGTCCCGCCCTTCCTGCAGACCCAATCACAAGCATGCATTTGTGAAGCCACACCCTGTTTTTAATAGCTTCAAATATAAACAATGACAAAAACATTTGAACATTGTTGTAATAATTTTATTAGTGCTAAGTTTGGCTCACATCATGTTATTTTGCATGGGGAGGGTCGGGTTTATGACCAATACTGCAGCCACAGAGGACATTTAAAATGTTTTGGCTTTACTTTTTATTTTAACTTTAGAAAAGTGAAGCCAAAATGTGAAGCCGTCTTGCTTTAATGGCTTCATTTGGAGCCGGACTTTGTGCAAATGGACTTTGTGCAGTAGCTAAAGCTGTAGTATTAAAGTCCCGCCCTACTTGCAGACCCAATAACAAGCACACTTTTGCAAAGCCACACCCTGTTTTAATAGCTTCAAATATAAACAATGACAAAAACACTTGAACATGGTTGTAAACATTTTATTAGTTCTTAGTTTAGCTCACAACCTGTTTGTTTGCATGGAGAGGGCGGGGTTTATGAACAATACTAGAGCCACAGAAGACATTTAAAATGTTTTGGCCTCACTTTTTCTCTGTCAGCTGTAGAAAAGTGAAGCCAAAATGTGAAGCCATCTTGCTCTGATGGCTTCATTTGAAGCCAGAGTTTGTGCAGTAGCTGGAGCTGTGGTATTAAAGTCCCACCTACGTTCCTGCAGACCCAAGCACACTACAGCCACAGAAGACATTTAAAATGTTTAGGCTTCACTTTTTTTGAGACCCATACAAAATAAAAGCCTACCTGGAACTGTGTATGCTAAAATGCATCACTTTTGTGCAATTAGTGAGCGAGAAAGCACTTAAATGGTTGTGAAAACGAGCTTGGTCTAAGATTTAGTTCTTGATACTGACATGCATGGCTTAAGCAAAGTGTTTCTTTCTCACACTTGCTTCCTTTTTGGTTTACTAACCCCGCATAACTTTTGCTCATGGTCTCTGACAAGGCGCCACCTAGTGGTGCAAACAGTTGGTTCATCAATGAGCTATACTCTTAACTATATATATATATATATATATATATATATATATATATATATATATATATATATATATATATATATATATATATATATATATAAAATAAAAAATAATATAAAAAAATAGCAAAACCTTGTAAGATAGCTTGTGCTGAATCCGTGTGCAGCCTGTCTGTTTCTGTGTGCCTTTATGCGTCACGAATAACAACATTTATTGCGCAGCTTTCTGTTGGGGATCAGTTGTGACCTTTTTTTTTTGCGTTATACTCTTGAAATTATAAATAAATTTATATATATATATATTTAAAAAACAGTGAAAACCAAAAAAAAACTCTCTTTGTCATTTTGAGTCCTATTTGTCAGAGCTTTTGTGATTTTTGTTTGAGGAAGTAAAGAAAAATAAAAACACCTTTAATTTCAGCCCTTCGGGTTTGATCCTGTTGTGTTTTGCCTTCAGTTTTTAAAGGTTTGTTTTGTGCATAACTGTTTTTATTGTAAAAATGAATGTTTAGTGATTTATTATTAATCCTGTAAAAAATGTCTCTGTATTAATCTCCTTTTTTTCGGTTGTTGTGAATTTCTCTTACTAGATTGAAAATCCCCGGATTTTTGGCTCCTCGGTTGCGGCTTAGTCATTGGGGAAACTTGTGATTTACAAACATTTAAAAAATATTTCTAATCTATGAAAAATGTGGCATTATGTCTCAAAGGCTGGTTTTTACTGCTAAAAAGGACGGCCAAATGTTCATTACTGATCTCCGCATCTGCCAAGTCATGTAACCTAGAAACTGCAGAATAAAAACCAATTGTATTATATTTCTGCCTCCTGTTTTTGTCCTCTTTAATATTAGCATGTGTTAGATTTGTTGCTTCATTAAGACAAGAAATCTCTAAATAACACTAATAGTTATCACTATATTTCCACAGAGGATTGATTTAAGAATGGCAAACAATTGTGTTCAGGATTTCATCTCTGTTATTCGCAAATGATGTCGATCTGTTGGCTTGCACTGGAGCGGTTTGCTGCCGAGTGTGACGCAGCTGAGATTAAAATCAGCACCTCTAAGTCCGAGGCCATGGTGTTTCACCGGAAATGGGTGGTTTGCCATCTCCAGGTTGGAGGAAAATCCTTACCCCAGGTGGAGGAGTTCAAGTATCTTGGAGTTTTGTTCAGGAGTGAGGGAAGGAAGGAACGTGAGATTGACAGGCGGATTGGTGCAGCAGTAATGCGGTTGATGTACTGGTCTGTTGTGGTAAAGGAGCCGAGCCAAAAGACAAAGCTCTTGATTTACCGGTCAATCTAGGTTCCTACTCTCACCTATGGTCATGAGCTCATGACTGAAAGGACAAGATATTGGATTCAGGTGGCCGAAATGAGTTTCCTTCGCAGGGTGGCAGGGCACACCATTATATATAGGGTGACTAGCTCTGTCACCCTGGAGGAGCTCGGAGTAGAGCGGCTGCTCCTCCACATCGAGAGAAGGCAGCTGAGGTGGCTCGGGGATCGGTTTTGGATGCCTCCTGAACACCGACCTAGGGAGGTGTTCCAGGCATGTCCCACCAGGAGGAGGCTTTGGGGAAGACCCAGGACACACTTGAGGGACTATGCCTCTCGGCTGGCCTGGGAACGCCTCGGGATCCCCCCGGAGGAGCTAGAGGAAGTGTCTGGGGAGAGGGAAGTCTGGAGTTCTCTCCCAAGACTGCTACCCCTGCGACCTGACCCTGGAAAAAAGCAGATAAAAATGGAAAAATGACTGAATTGCGAATATTGTTCAC